TGGGAGCAAACAGCAGACCCTTCGCTCCGCAGGTCGCCTTCTGACTGGGCTGATGTGCAGTGTAGAAAATGCCCTCTGTGTGTTTTTTTGCCCAAAGGAAATTGGAGTGGAGGAGGGGGTGGTGTAAGAAGTGCTGAGCTGCCTGGTACAACTGAGGAAATGTTTTTAATGGAAAGTAGTTGCAAGCCCAGCCCAGGGGCAAATGTGGCCATGTTCACCTGTCAGTTCCAGGCAGAAGGCAGAGGGAGTCAGGGTGCGGAGGGGTCTCTGGCCTGCACCTCTTCTTCTGAGCCTTGAGAAAGGGGGTTACAGACTCAGACTCCCGGTCCTCAACCAGGTCCTCAGCTGCAGCTATACAGGAAAAAAAAAAAATCTCCCAGCAAGAAGAAATGGAAGTAAGTAGTTTCTCCATGCCCCAGTGTATGTGCCTAAGCAAATGCTGTCAAGTGCAGGGGGCTCAGCTGTGTCTCGCTGTTTGTCGCTAGCCGCAATCCCAGCTAATGTCAGAGCCCATTTCCAGTGAAAGATGGCTGGAGGATCTCCGACTTTAATGAAGCCTTCCTTTCTGAGCCCCTGCTCTTCCATCGCTGGCCTCGGCAGCCCCGGAGCTCCTTCCCCGTGAAACGCGGGAAGCTGCTGCTGAGCACAGCGTGGACTTCCAGGTGATTTGGTCAGCGTCGGCAGCAGACGGGGTGAACCGGGCCAGTGACAGGAAGGGCAGGGCTCAGCGGGCACTCTTACAAATGAAGCTGGCAGCCCAGCAGGTGTGGCTCTTCCGTGTGATGTGTGCAGAGGTGGTGAACGTCGTGGCCTGTCGTCCCGCACGGGCTGGGAGAGGACCCTCCCCTTGGAGCGGGGTTCCATCTCCGTCAGCTTCTCCCCGAGTCTTCTCCCGAGCTCGCGTCCTTCACAGCGCCTGCTTGGAGGGGCCTGACTTGTTACCGTACTTGTTGATGTTCTTCTTTCTAGACAGTAACAGACAGTGTCTTGACTGTCACATTCTTGTTTGTCAGTCAGCTCAGGTGTGACTCAAGTAGCACCAGCGGCTTTCCTTGAGATTTCGCTGCACTGATGTTATTAACTGCGACATCTTCTAGGCGTCCCATGTCCCTGTGTGATTGCGAGTGCGGTTTCTGCATGTTGCTGCATTGGACAGACATCACAGTCGCCAGCACCATTGGCAGCAGGGGCCGAGAGGCGAGAGGGCATTGGAGGAGGCTGGCTTAGTGTTGGTGGCCTGAGATGTAGCTCTTAGCCGGCTGCAAGGGCTCTCCCTGTCCCCAGCAGCAGCCCACCTGCCCTCCCTTGCGGGAGGTTGGACAGTCGGGCACAGCAGTGACCCTGCCTGGCCTGCGCAACCCTGGGCGTCTCAGTAGGTGACTGGTGGACGGCAGCCAGTAGGAGAGAAGCACTGGGTGAGAAGAGGTGGCAAGCCTGTCAGAAGGAGCTGAAGTCAAGGGAGTCTGCACTGATGCGCCTGTGCGTGTGTTACAGCAGCATCTTCCCATGGGGCGGCGCAGGCCAGCAGGTGCATCCCTGTAGCCTCCCTGCCATTGGGGCTGGCTCAGCTGGGCTCCTTCCATGCACCTGTTTCTGCTGAGCCTCCAGCCTGGTCCGCCCATGTTCCTGTGTCTTCCCTTGGGTCTTTCTTGGTGTTGCAGCCCACAGGGACACCGCAGAACCATCATCCCTTGTGGAGAGCCACTGGAATGTGGAGAGAGCGGGCCAGCTCCCTCCTGTGCTCAGATCCGTCCTAACCTGATCACTCAATCTGTGCCCATCACCCAGATCCGCCACCACCAAGTAATGCGAATTCCAGAAAATATCTAAGAGATTCTCCGTGGACTAACCGATCGGGCAGGGAAGGGAGCAGTGCCAGTGGACGCAGCGCGAGCTGCCCCTCGCTGTGGGTACAGGGTGAGGCTGGAGTCGGATGGTGAAAGAGCCTCTGGGGGCACAAGGAGGCTCACGTGAGAAGATTCTAGAGAAATGAGAGAAACTATCTGGATCGAGGAGCTATCGTTTCTGTCTCTAGAAAGGACCAGCCGGGGAAGAGAGGGCTCCAGTCCCACAAGAGGGCGTCAGCAGGTCCCTGAGGTGCCTGTGAAAGCAAGTCCCCCGCGTGGGCGGCCACTGGGGACACTGAGCAGGACAGCGTTCCAGGGTCAAACCACAGTGTGTGTTGGGAGAGTCCCAGCAGACCGTGCACTTGGAAATCTGCCAGACGGGGCTCGGTGGCTGCTGCTCTGTGAGGTTCCAAAGGCAGTGCCAAGGCAGGGCCATGTTGGCAACCCCTGCTCCAGCCGGACTTGATGCATAAACTGCTGCACCTACAGTGCTTGTGCCCTGCTGGAGGATGCCAGGAACAGTGCTCCACGGAGAGTACCCTCTGACCAGGACAGGCCTGACCAAGCAGAGTGGTCAGCGTTGCCAAGCGTGCACGTGGTCTGGAGGCTCTTGGGAGCCAGCTACAAAAGGCACTGAAATCCAAGTTGCCACCAGTTTGCCACAAGGCCACATGTGAGCAGCTGCTCCAAGGAACGAAGGACATGGCCACAGATTTAGTTCACAGCAAGATTACCAAGAGCCCCAGGCCGAAAAAGGACGCTTTCAAGACAGAGCAGAGCCATGCCTGCTTGGACACAGCTTTGAGGTTTGCAGCTTGAAAGTGCGCACCACCACACCAAGGGTGCAGTCGTCAGAAGAGATCTGGCTGCCTTACAGCTCGACCAGGAAAGAGATCGGGGAGGAAAGGAATGAAAGTTTAGCTTTGAAGAAGAAAACACATCAGAATATAGAAAGAGTGAGGTGAGGGGAGCAGATAGCGCTGGGGAGAACCTGGGGAGGTTGAGCAGATAGCGCTGGGGAGAACCTGGGGGGTTGAGCAGATAGCGCTGGGGAGAACCTGGGGAGGTTGAGCAGATAGCCAGCTGTGACCGAGTTCTGACCCGTGACTCCTCCTTGGGATGGAGAATACAATACAGCCATGAGAGCCTGCCCCATTTTGCCAATGGGTGAACCATGCCAGCCTTCTTGTGAAGCCATGTGTGTGTGACAGCATCTGGGTATTGCTTCCCCGGCTTGGGAAGAAGGTGCCAGCTTGAGGCTTCAGGCAGACAGCTGCACGTGGCTTCTGTGCAAAGACAAGCAGGGCAGCCTGTGGAAGCTTACTCACTGCCACAGAGCAGGGTTAACAGTCACACCAGGCACAGCAGGAGAGGCCCGAGGGTGGCTCCCAGGAGTGGTGAGGGAAGCAGGCCAGGGTGCAGAGCAGCCCATTTGCAACAGAGAAGAGCTGAGTGAGTGGGCAGAGTGGCAGGCGTGCAGGCCTCCTCACGGAACGCAGTAGTGGCATTTCACTCAAGTCACAGTTACTGCTAAGCGAGTAGGCTGTAGCTACTCCTGCCAGAAAAACAGAGCAATGGGCAGCAGCGAGTGATGGGTGCGTGCGTCGGCTTCATGGCAAGCACCACTTGGCTGTGCGTAGGTATCCCGCAACACCTGGTTGCACCTGTGGAGGCCAGCACCGTGGCCTAGCAGGTGCGCCGTTGCCCACAACCTCCACATTGCGTATGAGCGCAGCTTTGACCAGCTAGGAAAGCAGGTAAAAAGCAGAGAAAAAATGGTGCTGGTGTGTGAACCCTTGCATCCATGTGGGAGACCTGGAAGAAAATCCTGGCTTCTGGCTTCAGACTAGCCTAGCCACAGCCTAACAGTCATGTGGTGGAATGAACCGGAAGATGAAAGATTTCTCTCTTCCTTTCTCTCTGTAATTCTAACAGGTAAATAAGTATTTTTTTGTTTTTTAAAGGATAAACTGTGGTTGAATCTACACGCACCCTTGAAGAGGAGGGAGGCAGAGGAGGGCACTGCCTGGTGGCCCAGAGGCTGATTTGCAATTCTCATGGCTGATGTTGCTCAGAGTTCAACATCTGTCATGTGCCAAGCGCATCGTGCGGATTGAACAAGCAGGTGTCCTCATTGCTCCGTCCGTTGTTCCCGGTCTGCCATTCCCTGGAGTCTGTTGTGGCTGCACATGGGAGGTGTTGCCTGGGCTGGAGATCATGTCTGCAGGCAGGGCTTTCTCTGGGCAGGCGTGTCACCTTCCTCCTCCCTTCCTCTCATCCTCTTCTGAATTCCACACATGTTCCCCTGGCTCCCCCCGCCTGCCCCTGTAGACCCCCACCGAAGCTCAACCCACATCCACGGCAGTAGCCTTTAAGTACATGTCAGCCAGAGTGCAGCGTGGAGTGTGAATGTGAGTGCAGTGTGGAGTGTGAGTGCAGTGTGGAGTGTGAGTGCAGTGTGAGTGCAGAGTGCAGTGTGAGTGTGAGTGCAGTGTGAGTGCAATGTGGAGTGCAGTGTGAGTGCAGTGTGAGTGTGAGTGCAGAGTGAGTGTGAGTGCAGTGTGAGTGTGAGTGCAGTGTGAGTGTGAGTGCAGTGTGAGTGTGAGTGCAGTGTGAGTGTGAGTGCAGTGTGGAGCTCTGCTGGACCCCACAACCACAGCACCTGCTGAGATAGTTCCACATGATCAGACTGCTTACTTCCAGATGCACGCCGTAAGGCTCGTCCCAGTGAGCCCACGCGAGCTCCAGGTAGCATATGGCGATTCTGATTGTGGGCGCGGTTTGCTCAGTGTTACACCTGCTTAGTTCCTGCAGCACATTGGACAGTGATGCCCCATCTGCCTAAAAGTCAGGTCCCCTTCTTGGACTGAATGCAGCTTTGGAATGGCCCAGGAACGGCTTGCACAGCACTGCAAGGAAGCAAGGAGCCCTCCCAGGGCGCAGTGGCAGAGGAGAGTGTTTGAAAACCACTTTCTCCCCAAACATCTGCCCCTGGGACCAGAGCCGCCCTTTGAAGGAGGGGGCTGGGCCTCGAGCGACAGCCTCTGAGCCCAGCAGTTGTGTCTGAAACACAGGGGTGTCAGAGCACGCGGACACGCGTGCAGGTGTGGGGCTGCGTGCAGGCCTCACTGCTGTTCTCTGCTTCCTCCCCAGTGCGGACGGCCCCACCTACGAGGTCATGCAGATCGACATTGAGATCGAGGTGCCCAGCGACCCCCCGACCACGCAGTTCGTCACGTGGCAGGTGGAGTACCCCGGGGAGGTCACTTCAGATCTGGGGGTGTCCAAGATCTACGTGAGCCCACGGGAGCTGAGCGGGGTCGTCCCCCTGGCCATGGTAAGGGAGCCCCCCGCCGCTGGCTGCCAGCTTGGGGTGGGGAAGCAGCTGAGAGATGAGAGCTTGAAGTTAGCTGTCGGTCACCAGGTCCAAAAGGTGTGTTTTCCTGAATGTGGTGGAGGTACTGTTGGTGGTTTAGCAGTGCCATATAGAAGACAAGTCAAATTCCAGGCGTTCGATGTGCATCTGCTGGTGTGTGAATCCGCGTGTGGTATGGGAAATATTCATGCCACGGACACCGGTCAGGGATGTCAGCACGCAGAGCAGCCCCACATGCAGGGCTCCGGGGCCCAGCAGACCCTGCCCGTCCCAGCAGCACAGGTGTGACTGCCACGCTAACACGCCCAGCAGGGGCACCTGATGTTTCTGCGGTGACTGGCTTCTCAAGAGAAGCCAGAAGAAATGGAATGAGAGGTGGAGCTCGTGTTGACTGCTGCTGCTTTGTTTCAAGCTGAGGAGGAGAGCGCCAAGTGCGGGCCCTCCTGTCTCAGGTTCTTCCAACCCCTAACCTTGGGCCGGGGCCTCTGTCCATGTGTTCTGGGACATGCGGGAATGGACCCGACCCCGGTTTGCCCCAAGCCTGCTGTGGACGGGAGCCCTACTCCCCAGGCCAGCACACTGCAGTCCCAGTGATTTCATTAAATGTGGCTTTGCCACCTGAAACCCCTGGGAATGTTCTGCCCAGAACAAGATCGCAAGCTGCATGTCATGTTGACTGGAGCCCGTCTTAGCGGAGGTGAGCTGGAGTGTAAGCTCGTCTTGGCGGAGGTGAACTGGAGTGTGAGCGTGTCTTGGCAGAGGTGAGCTGGACTGTGAGAGCGTCTTGGCGGAGGTGAGCTGGAGTGTGAGCGTGTCTTGGCGGAAGTGAGCTGGACTGTGAGAGCGTCTTGGCAGAGGTGAGCTGGACTGTGAGCGCGTCTTGGCGGAGATGATGAAGCTAACTGCAAGCGTGTCTTGGGGGAGGGTGTGCGACCTTTTGATGTGAAAGACAAGTGTCGAGACTGACTCTTGGTTTTAGGCCCTGCTGGAAACTTCTCTGTACACCCCTGTGATTCCATCAAAGAAACCCTCGATGTTTGACACTTTCTCCCCTAAAATGTCCTCCGGCTTACACCGTAGTGGAGATCTCTGCCCGCACGCATGATTGGCTCCTTGATGTAAACTTCTGAAGTACATTTGCGGCCCTGGGTTGAGGGACGCGGGCTGAACTGTGTCCTCCCATTTGCAAAGTTTACTCAGCTTGCAATCCCACCTGCTGTGTGCAGTGACACCCCTCCCTGAGTTCACTAATACCGAATATTAACATTCAAAAGTGACACAATTTATGAAGCAAAAAATATTGAGTTTTAGAGTTACCTTAATTTGCCTTTCTTACATTGTTTTTATTTCTTACACATTTCTTCTTCACCCTGTTGCTTTTCCCACTGGGGAAGCAGCTTATTGCTCAGTTATACATATTTGACGGGGCTGAAAAGCACTCAGCCTCGTGCGCGCACCTGAGTGGTGTTGCCTTCACCTGGGTCGCAGTGGCTCTCTAGAAGGTCTTCTCCTTGTGACACCAAAGCTTTCCACTCGTCACAGACTCTGCCTCGTGCACGCGTTCACAGAGCATGCGCTCCAATCAGCAGAGCCGTGGCCTCGAAAAATGGGACTGAAGGCAAATGCAATTTGGCATTCTGAGACAGTGGGCATGTGGGATGGGTGCGGGGCAAAGCTCGGGGCCTCACTGCTCCGTGTGCCAAGAAGGCTCCTGCCCCTCGTGCAGCTCGGCAGGCCCTTGCAAAGCTCCTTCACCAGCGGCTGCTCGTAGCCCCGGGTTCTGGCCTTGAAAGCATCCCTACTGTCTTAACCTAGTCATGCATTTCTGTGAGTTCCAGTCCATTATTTTTCTTCTGTTTAGGAAAGCATACCTCACTGAATCATGGGTAAACACGCTTTTATCCCTAGGGAGAAAATTCTGAGAAGTGTCATCAAATGTGCATTAGTGCTTGGCTAGTCAGCGAATGCCCGTGGCTGCACGCGCCCTGGCTGCAGGAGCTGGGACTGCGTTTCTACCCTGACGGGACCCTCTTTATGATGGTGCAGGCTTCTGAGGAGGTTCCCAGCTTTTCAGGTCCACTCAGCACCTTCCTGGGCCTGGCTCTGAATTTAGACTCAAGCAAGTGCTTGGGCTCAGGCAGCGCTCATGGTAGCAGATGCCGTGTGATGGCAGCTGCGGTCCCAGGCGGTGCTGACGTGTGCTGTGCAGTCAGGCAGAGAGTACAGGTTGTCACTCCTGTTCGGTACCAGCTATTTGGTGGCAGGGGCAGCTGATTGGTGGTGCTTGTTGAGCCTGTGGGCGATGTAAGCGTATCATATGCCTTCCCTGCGAGGTTTTGAGCTCAGCAGCTTCCCAAGTTGGACACGTGAGCCTCGGCTATGACTGACATTGCTGTGGGGAGAGCTGCTGTGGGCCCCAGGGGCAGGTGACATCACAGGCACCCCCCGTAAGGTGCGTTACACATTTGTTGTCACTACTGTGAACGGCCTGTGGCCATCTGAAAGGCAAGAGGTGGATTCGAGCTGGTGGTCTGGACCGGTGATGGCAGCTTGCCAGCCGCTGAGGGAGGGCAGACCCCAAGTGATGGGGCGTGTGCAGCTCGGTGTCTATGTGTGGCCACCATCTCTTCCTACAGCTGCAAGATGCACCCACAGGGCCCACCCTGGGGAGGTAAACCAGAGCTGTCACCTCCACACGGGGTCCTGCCCAGAGCTGTCACCTCCACACGGGGTCCTGCCCAGAGCTGTCTCCTCCACACAGGGTCCTGCCCAGTACAGTCACCTCCACACGGGGTCCTGCCCAATACAGTCACCTCCACACGGGGTCCTGCCCAATACAGTCACCTCCACACGGGGTCCTGCCCAGTACAGTCACCTCCCACCGGGTCCTGCCCAGTACTGTCACCTCCACATGGGGTCCTGCCCAGTGCTGTCTTCTCCACACGGGGTCCTGCCCAGTGCTGTTGCCTCCACACATGAGCACATTTACACGCTTTGGTGTTTTGGTGTTAGCCTTGGGATGGGACTGCAGGGAGGGTTTCGACGCTCAGATTGGCCGCACTCAATCCTGAAGGTCCCTGGTACAGCACAGGGCCTAGCCACACAACCTGAGACATGAGGTGGTGTCTTTCTTGCAGAATGACACCAGATGAGTTTGCGGTTTCTCTGCACCCCTGGCATGATGCCCGTGCTTGTATGCCCACCCTCAGCACCCCTGACCCGCATCCTTGCTTGACGCTCATGGCCAGGTAGGTGCCTCACCGACCAGCCCCTACGTGTCCGGTGACACCCCGGCCTCTCTGAGCTCAGGGGGCCTCTGCTGGATGAGCTGCAGCATCTGGGACCCGGCCCCGGCAGCAGCCTGCCACAGTGCCCGAGGGTACACTGCTTCACGTGGCTATTCAGCTCATTCCTGAACTCCCCGAAACTGGCCCCCCAATAGCTGAGCCCTCTTCAGAGTGGAGGCAGCCGACCGCCAGCAGATGCCTGCGTGCCACGTCCCGCGTTCAGTGCTTCCTCTGTCAGCACAGCTCAGTTGTGGCCCTAGTGGTCACCGCCTTCAACAGCAGCTCAGCTTGGGGGGCTCTTCCCTTGCCTGGCTCAACACTGAGGCCTGAAGCTCTGTGACTCTTGGGGTAAGAAAGTAATCCATTTTCGAAAGGTTTCTTTATGCATTTAGCTAGATAGCTGGCACAAAAGAATAGAAATCTTCCACCTGGTGAATCACTCCCCAAATGGCCACAGTGCCAGGGCCGGGCCGAGCTGCAGCCGGAAGCCAGGAGTTCCCATCCTGCCTCCCACTGGATGGCAGGAGTCCTTGTGTTTCGCCATCCTCTGCTGCCTTCCTGGGGACACTGCCAGGGAACCGGGCCTGAAGGAGAGCACCTGGGACTTGAACCTGCACTCCAACATGGGGTACCATGTCACAGGGATAAGCTGAAACACTGAGCCAGGATGCCGTCCCCAAGAGGGCAGTCATTTAGCAGACTAAATCTTCAGTCTTCCGGGTCTGTGCTTTGATGCCAAGATCCCACTTCTGGAAGGCCGGCAGACCACACTGGTATCTTTAGAAGCACGCGGCTTGACTGTGCTGGGCCTTACGATGCAGTGCCTGCGCCATGTACGCGTTCGACCGTGGCACGCTTCTCCCCTTGGTGGCAAGAGCCTCCTTCTTGGGCACAGCCTGTGCCCCGTCAGCACCTGGAGGACTCGGGGCCTGCGCATGTCGGCCTTGTCTGTGAGATCACCCTGGAGCCACGCTTCCTTCCTGTGAGCACTGGGCGAACAGCCAGGGCTGACCCCCAGGGGTGCGCAGTGAGCAGCTGTGAAGGAACAGTGTTGGTGCCTTGGGAATCGACTGGGTTGGGGCAAGAGGGTGCCATGGGGTCAGCCAGCTCCCCACAGGTATGAGTTTGCTCGGTTGGAATAAATGCACCAGGACAGGTGGCGGCGAAGACCCAAGTCACAGGATGAGGCTTGCTGTCCTGCAAGTCTCCTTTGCTTTTGGCATAAAAGGAGCCTCCTGGCTCCGGCTGCCTGACTTGCGTGTCAGCGTGTTCATTAATATGCAGATGCCTCTGTTGTTTTCTTAAGACATTTTGAGAATTCAGTCACACTGTGGAGCACATCACCACTTTCGTTTTTATACTTTCTCAACCAAGTGCAAATTAAGGCACTGCGACAGCCCGAGAAAAATCTTGGTCCACCTAGAGTCCCAGCCCTGTGCGTTTCCTGCGACGCCATCGCAGCCCCAGCCGGCACCAGGGTTGCCCCTTCCTGGCAGGTGTGTCCTCCCCATCACCCTGTGGCCAGCTCAAGGCCCTGGTCTGCACTCAAGGTGAGCGTTGCAGGCGAGAGACGGCAAGGTGTGGTAACCAAGCTGAAGAAAAAGAACATGCTGGAAAGACCAGGCGGGCATCTCAGGGAAGACCCGAGCACCCCGTCTGTGATCAGGCTGGGGC